CTCAGAATGCCGTTCCTGTAAGGAATGATATCGAAATGGCAAGATAATAAAGCCATTGTCAGTAAAGCCCACACGCGGGCTCTGCTGTGCGGATTAAACTAGAAAAGCCCGTTTTGAGGAGGGAGCCTGAGCCTGGGCCTGAATCTCAGCACTGGCAGAGCAAAGTGGGTTAAAGTTCTGGGTCCCTGCAGGGAGGAAGAGGGGGACAAGGGGGACCCAGCCTGGCGAAGGTTACACTCCGGGGTGGCAGGCTTGTATGTCTCCCGGGCAAGGGGTGGGGGAGCTCTGAACGAGGGTTTTCCAGGGCTGCAGAGCCCTTGGCGGGGCTTGGCAGGGGTGGGGGGTGGGGTGGGGGGGGTGCCTCGCCGGCCCTGCCCCCTTGTCCTCACCGTCTGGCCGCTTCGGGCTTCGGGCCCGCCCGCCATCTGCAGAAAACCGCTTGGTATGTGGCGTGTTTTGAGGCCACATTATTGGAACTCTTTTCCTATTTGGAGAATATGCGTCATGGGTCCTTCCCTCTCAAGGCAGAAGCCGGAGGCTTACTTTCCCAGGCGGCCTGCGGTTAGGCCGCGAGGCATGGGCCGTGAGCTGTCGTAGTCAGATGCACCGGCGCAGGGTGCCAGGCGGCGGGGAGCAAGGTGAGGAGGTCCAGCTGTGTGGGATGTGTTTTCTTCGGGCAGCAGGGTGGTGGGGAGTGGGCCACGGGGTGGCGCTCCGGGGTCACGGGCCGGTGTTAAGGTGAGCGGTGGGGTCTCCGCCTAGCAGCGGCAGCAATCAGATCTCCGCTGGAACAATGTGGCACAGCGCGCCCTGGGGTTGTTCCTGGCTTCCAGGCCTTGGACTTTGTGCAATATTGACAAGGGCACCACTTCTGAACACTTGACTGCCATCTGCTGGAAAATGGCTGTGATATACAAACCTGGTGTCTGTTACAACAAACATACAGGTCTGTCTAGGTGGGAGTAGTGCCTCTTCAAGGGTCCTGGTGTTGTGCAGTATGCAACCTGCGCAACTGATCTTGGTGACTGCAAGCCTGACTCTTCGGCCCTTGTGGAGATTCTGTAAGAGACTTCTCATTTTTAATAAATGCCTTTTCTACTTAAGCTACCTGGATGGGTTCTGCTGTTTGGCTAAGAATCTCAACTGCTACAAACAGGGATAAGGATATGTGCCGTATTGGGCTGAAATCCAGTCAACCAATGGATGTAAGAGTCCTCTGAGGAAACATAAAGCACTTAATGTCACTCAGAGGTTGTGTGTGTGATGTATTCATTTTTAGAGGAACACGGGAAAGGGTCTGATTCACTCTATCTTCCTTCCTTATTCCAGAAACCCCTTTGTTTATTCTTTTGCATTTATGGCCAGGGTCAAAGTTCATGGTTGAATAGAGGAATCCCAAGGATGAGAATGAGAGTACGCGTTATAAATATTCCAGCAGGGAGGCCTGTGGGGAAAATGGCCTTGCTGGGGCTTGTCCGTGCACTGCCGTGTCTCCTATTGTCACAAGGAGGGATGACATCCGCCTGCGTATCATTTGTGTGACGACTCTGTGTGCGCGAGCGTGTGTGCGTGCGCGTGCATGTGTGCGCGCGGGTGCGCGTGCATGTGTGGGTGTGCGGTCGTGCGTGCCTGGCTGCAGCTCAAGTGATCAGCTTCCAGGTTTTCCAGGATGGTCCAGATTTGAGATGTTTTGTCCTTATTTGTCAGTCCGTTTCTGGGCCCAGAGTTTTTGGTTTAGGCCGTGTGGGCTCTGTCCCTCAAGGTCACAACAGCCCCTGCCCAGGATGTGGTAAGGAGGAAAGAATGAGCAAAGGCTCCCCAGGGAATCCTCTCCCCATCAATTGCTGGAAATGCCTGTTTGACTCAGTCCTCAGTGCTTCAAAGCTGAAAGGAGGGAGAGGGGCTATCTGCTTGCTTCCTGCAACCCCCTCCACTCCTGCACCCCTCAGCAGGGTAGGGGAGAGGTGGGGGGCGGCGGGGGAGGTCCAGGGGTGATTTCAAGGCTGTCCGTCGGAATCAGCCATACCTGTTGGCTGCTTGAGGCCTGAAACCGCTTTGCTCCAGGGCCTTTCTTTCCACCTTGAACCAGGAGCAGGGGTGTGTAAAGGCCGGGAGAGGGAGCCTGTGAGTCACGTTCACCCTCGGAGGCTCCCATCAGGGTGTCAACAGAGGGCAGGGAAGAGAAGACAGAGTGCTTCCCTCTGTCCTGAAAGACAGCTGGGATAGGAAGAGGCACCCGGAGAAGGGGACAGGGTGACACGGCGGGGGGGGGGGCGGGGAGGGGTTGGGGGGATTGGGAAGTAGGCCACCGGATACAAACGTTTTTGATTCCGGAATTTGTCTCGGGTCCCTGGAGGGGCCTCCGACCCTCTGCCTGCAGGTGGCATTTTCCATCCTGCAGGACCTCCTGACCCTTCACTCCTGGAGAGCGACAGACTTGTCGGATGAGGGAGCCTGTGGCCAGGAGGCCCTGCTCTTTCTCTTTCCCTTACGAAGCCCTAACGGCATTTGGCGCTCAGAAGGGCAAGTACACACACACAGGGGCAACACACAGTTGGGCTGTTTCTGGAAATGCCCGCCTGTCCACTGCGGTAAGCTTGGAAAACCCTCAGGGAGGACGAGCTGGCCAGGTCGCAGGACACGAGGAGGAACGGGGTCTGGGGAGAGGGCTGCCGGGATGTGACACGGAGCGACTGCTGCAGCCCGCCAAGTGGAGACCTTTGTTCTCCGCCGTAAGTTCGGGCCCTGGGGACAGGTAAAGGCCCAGGGTGAGAGACGGTCTTCATTCCTGTTGGTTCATTACTGTTTGGTCACAGAAGGGCCTCAAAATAAGTCAGGGCCTTTTGTACAGGGTCCCGTTTCTCTGGCCCCGCGTTGCTGGAGGTGGCCGGAGGAGGGCTGCCGGTGGACAGCCCTGGGCCACCGAGCTGAGTTTGGTGAACTTTTCCCAGCTCATCTTTTCCACGTGTCACCCACTCTCTCTGGCACAGTCCTTCCAGGCTCACGTGAGGATATATATTCGCCTTTTCCCAAATCAGACGGAAAGGACCCAGGGAACAGCCTTCCTTTCTTCTGGAGGAGACTCTCCTCTCTGGCATTCCTGAAAGGCTGTGTTGAAGCCTTCCAATGACTAAGAGCTCACTGCCTCACAAGGGACCTCATGCCTCTTTAGGGCAACTCCAGATGCTAGAAGTTATCTTCCTTTGTTTGGACACCCAGCTACCTCCTGGAATCTCCCTCCGATCCGTTTGAGTTGGCCAGGCTTTTGGTCCAACCCTCCCTCTACCTGACAGGGCTTTAGAAGTTCCAAGGTCTGTTCGAACGTATTCCCTTAAGCCTTCCCCTGTGGGTTAAGAGGCACACGTTTCTTCGGCCTGTCCTCAGTGGCCTCATTCTCCGACCCTTCCCTCCCGCCCTGTGTTGGGAGTTCCTTTGCTGACAGAACCCCAACTCCCTAACCTCCTTGGAGCCCGAGGGAGCAGGCCATACCTGGCAGGGCTTCTATGGAATGCCCACCCGGCCGGGACTAGAGGAGAGTTTACTCACATGAGTTTAGGAGCCCCCAAGGGCCAAGCCTATTGGAGTCAGTTCCCTATCCTTTCTCCATGTTTGCCTACAGCAGTCAGTGGACACTGACCCCCAGGATGAGGACCCAGTGGCCCTAGAATGTCTGAGCTGAGTGGAATCTCGACATGGCCTCGTATTTCTTGCACTGAGCTGGGCTGGCCCCCAAGCCCTCAGCCGTGAACTTAGGCCTCTCAAAGCTGCAGGGCCGCTAAGGAACATTCTGACTTTACTAGAAGATTCTGGGGAAAAGACAAGTAGTGTAACTGGCAAGTAGTTCAAGGTGATGTTTTTCTATTAAGGCAAATGCATCTATACTACGTGATAGAAGGTGGACGCATGATTTCCGAAGCCACAACCCGCAGCTGCAGAATTTTACACTGTGGGAAGGTGGCTTCGGGCAGTTTTGTGGCGTTGAGGCCCCGTTCCCCAACGGACTGCCCCCGGCTGCCGGAGGGTGTTCGGGTGGAGCACTTGGAGAAGCTCTGGGTACTTACTCCCCTTTGTCGTTAGAGGTGAGGAAAGGGAGGCCCAGAGTAGGGAAGTGGTTAGCCCGAGGACACACAGCTCGGAGGAGGAGTCTGGAAACCCAGATCTGCCCTGTCCGGAGACGTGCTGCATTCGGTACCTAAGCATGTTTACCATGGCAAGGAAGGGGATCCCCAACAGGCAAGCTTACGATCAAATAGCGCCTCACACGTCTGCAGGGCGGGAGACCATGGAGGAATTACGTTCTGGCCTCCCTACCTCGCAGCTGCCCCCTGACAACTGAAACGAGAATTGGAAGGAGGACGTCAACCTGAACCAGGAAACGGGCCGGCACAGCTTTCTGTCACTCGAAACGCCGGCCTTCAGGCGACTACATACGGGTTTGTGCTTTCTGCCAAGGTGTCTTTGACATTTACTGTAAGCTCCTGACACCCGAGCGCCCCGTCCTTTTTTACAGCGAGCACCTACCCATCGACTAGCGGCTGGTCACCTCTCACAGAAGTGCAACTCTCGGTAATTTACTCAAGTCAGTTAATACTGTTTAATAAATAGGCCAGAAAATTAGCTGAGGGGTTTTCTCGGCGGGCTGCGGCGTGCGACCAAAGTTGTGGAAGATTGTCCTTTGAATCACTAAGGCAAACTCTGTTGTGTCATTTTACAGAAAGCAATCACATAAAAAAGGGTTATAAATAGGAAAAAATTCCAAAGTTTCCCCACAGAGGGACAGGGAAATTGAAACACCAAAAAAGAAAAAAAAAAAAAAAAAAGAAAGGAAGGAAAGAAGGAAAAAAGGAAAGAAAAAGAAACGAAACGAAACACAACCACCCCTACCCCCACAAAACATTTGCGTCAAGTTCTCCTCGATCATACAGTACTCAAGATCTTTGGATCTTTTACAATATACAACTCCAAATTGCAGCCAAGAGAAAACAAAAAGAACTAACCAGTTGTCTGAAAAACTGAGTTTATAAGAAGTCATTACCTTTACAAAATAAAAACAAAGCCCCAACACCACTGGATTCCAACTTGTTCATTTTTCCTTGTTTTCTTTGAAAGTTTGGGTCAGCCCCAACCCCTTGGCTGATGGGGAGGGAACACGGGGATGTTGGCTGATGGGTCCCAGAACCAAGTGTCAGAAACAGAGACAGGAGTCTAAGAGGTGGCTGCCCAGAAGGATGGTGTCTGAAGACAGAAGGGTGTCAGGACCAGTTTCCTCTGGTCGGAATGGCGTCTGGTGGGGTGTGGAGTCAGGGTCCTCTTCTGGGGAGCTGGAGAGTGACAGAGTCTGTGGTCTTCTCTGGCCTTTTTGTTCTTTTGTGTGTGTGTGTTTGCTCAGGAAGAAGCCAAGGCGACAGGAAGAGCCGAAGTCTCTTGTGCCCGCAGCTCCTGGACTGGGGACACCGGCCCTGGGTAATCCATGCAGATGAACCCTCCTGCCGTCGGGACTACCGAGAAACAAAGGCAAATTCAGCAAGAGAAGGGATGGAGGGCAGGAAAGGGGAGAGAAGAGGAAGGCACAGGGCCAGCAAAGCTGTCTTCCTTCTCGAGACCTACTGCTAGCTTGTGAACCAGGGAGAGCGTGCGTGCGTGCATGCGTGCGTGTGGGCAGCTGTGACTCACAGAGCCCCCGAGACCCCTACTGGAGCTGGGCCCCGCCTCCCACCACCGAGGGAAGCCAAACCACCCAGCTTCCTGCCCGAGCCACGAGGGAGGGCTTGAGGGTGTTCAAACACAGCAAAGGGGGCAATCCCCAGCAATACCGGAGCCCTGAGAAACCCACAACAAACATAAACCCTGGGTAACCGGGTGTTTTGTCTGTTTCTAGGAAACAGGGCAGAGGGGGGCAGCCGCCAGGTGTTAGGAGGTGACTCTCGGCCCTTCCGTGTTGGCCCCAGGAGTCCCAAGAGACTTTGTACAGCCCTGGAGAGGGAGTCAATGCTAACTAGTCGTCCCCAGGGGCCCTGGCTTACACCATGGCCTGCCTGCCTGGAGAGGTGGGGAGTATTTGGAGTTCCCCACAGCTGCCTGTGGACACGGCACATCTCAGCCCTTCTTTGTCACTCCTGTCTAGGGTGGCCACATTCCTCACCTGTGCTAATAGAGAGGTGGATGTGAGAAAACTAAATCCGGCAGGATAGACGGTTTCACCAGAGACTTTAGGCGTGCAAAGCTCCCACCTTCTCGGTTCTTTTGTGGGGGGCGGGGGGGACAGGTGTGTATATGTGTGGGGGTGGGTGCAAGAGGGGAAACTAAATTGCCAGCTCCCCTTCGGAGCAGGGTAGAGACGACCGACCCGTCCAAGGTCACAGGACGGTGAGGAAAAATGGGCCCGGACTCCAGGAGCCTTCCCTGCCAATAGGGCATTTTCCACAAGGATCCCGGGATGGCTGGAGACGAGAAAAGTGACCCACCAGAGCAGGGTCAGCAGGGACTCTGCCGTAGAATGGTGGCTCAGCTAGGATGGGCGCCCCAGGCCCCTCGGTAGGCCTCGTCCCTGTTTCACCTGGTCTGCCTCTGGCCAAGCTACCTTCCTCCATCGAGCCCCACACGCAGCTCCAGAGTGCTCCTGGGCACCCAGGGTGTGGCCTCCTCGGGGCACGGGTCCCTGTGAGTTTGTGTGTGACAGCTGGAGAGACAGCCAGGTAGAGGCCAGGCCCTGGGCTCCAGGCCCTGTGGGAGGAGATGCCCACCTCAGACACCACCAAAAGGGATGCAGGAGGCCTTGGGAGGCCTAGAAAGTACCACTGCTGCTGCTAATACGTTTTCGTTCTTTTCCTTTGTGATTTGAAAGAAACAGTCCAGACCCACTGGGTAGGGCAGGGGACGCCTGGTGGGAGAGGGGGCAAGGGCCGCTGGACTGGGATCGACAAAGACCAGCCTAGTTGTTGGCTTCAGACATGGAGGCCACGTGGTTGAGGCCGGCGAGCCCGGGGAGGCCGGCCAGGCCCGCGGCCCACGGGTCGGGCAGCGGGAAGTAGGGCCGCGCGGCCGCCACGTTCTCGGCCAGCGCGAAGGCCAAGAGGCCCCCCGCGTTCCTCTCGGCCTCCAGCTGCGCGCGCCCGAACAGCTTCATCTGCGTCTCCTCGAACTGCCTCTCCAGCTCCTGCAGGCTCAGCGCGCCCTTGGGCGCCGCCAGGAAGTGCTTGGCGGGGCTGGGGCCGGGGAGGCACACGGCCGCCCCGCCCAGGTGGCCGCCCACCTCGCCCAGCGCGGGCGGCATCACGAAGGCCGCCTTCTCCGGCGCGGGGCCTCCGGGCCCGAAGAGCAGGCTGGCGGCCCTCCAGGCGGCGGGCTTGCGGCCGCGCCGGGGCCGGGCCATGCGGCAACTCTGGCGCTTGATGTGGCGGTGCAGGTGGTCGGAGCGCGTGAAGCTCTTGTAGCAGAACTCGCACTGGTAGGGCCGCACGCCCGTGTGGATGCGCATGTGGTTCTTGAGGTCGTAGTTGTGCACGAACTTGGCGTTGCAGTGGATGCACAGGTAGGGCCGCTCCCCCGTGTGCTTCCGCATGTGGATCTTCAGCTTGTCCTGCCTGCCAACGCAGAGGCGGCGGTCAGTCCCCGCGGGGAACCCCGGCAGCCGCGCCCCCCAGCCCCTTCCCCCACAACCCGCTCCAGCCGGCCACGGCAAACGGGCCCCCGTGCTAGGGTTTACTTGCAAACGCGGCCTCACTGCAAACGGGTGTGGCTACTCACCTGGATCAGAGGGCTGGAGAAGGAGCGGTGTCCCGAAAGGCCTCCTTCCCTCCAGGACCCCGCTTACTCGTCAGCTCCGAGTAAGGAAGCCGCACCCTTTGTCGGAGGCCCAGCTCGCACGCTGGAAAATGGGCCTGTCGGGGACACTTCTCCCCACAAGTCAGCAGCCTGGCCTTAGCCCTTGCGCGGTGTGGCAACCTCTGACACCACCTTGCGCCTTAATTTCACGCCCACTGTCTCCGGGCAGGTCTTCCCTCCTGTTCCTCCTGTGCCTTTGCCCCATCCTGGCCCCTGGGCTCTGGAGATCTAGTCTGTCCTCGGCACTAATCTGGGAGGCTACAGAAGCCGGGCGCACCTCGTTCAAGTCTCCTGCACTGTGGTTTCGCATCCCAAGCTGTGGGCTTTCCTCTTTGTCTGCAGAGAATTCCAGGGTTTACAAAAGAGCCAGGTGCGACAAGAATGTAGCCTAATCTAGGGCAAAGCTTTTTAGGATTTACGTGCTATTATTCAGAGGGAAGGTATGGTGTAAAGGTGGGGCTCCGTTGGGGTTTGGGAGCCCCTGCTCCAGCTGCAGACCCACCGCGAACATGCTGAAAGACCTTAGGCAGGTTACTCAACGTCTCTGCACAGAGCTGAATTTAGCATTAGACACAGTTCCTATTGTCCGGCGCTGACGGAGAGAATCCGGGTTTGTGTCCAACTAGATTCAACACACCTCCTGGTGATCTCGCAAGGAACACTGACATCGCGGGGCTGTCTTCCTAAAGACTGAGCGCTGCACAAGGCAGCTAGAGGAGCCTTCCAGCCTGGCCGAAGTGGAGTCAGGTGGGCTGCAAGAACCCCTCTCAGGGTCCTTCCGCAGCCTTCCCCCACCAGGCCTGGCAGGCCAACGGGCTCTGCATCCTGTCTCCTACCTCCTCCCTGCAGGTGTGGCCCCGGGTGGGGCATCTGTTTGTAATTTTTGCCTCGGGTTTGAGGTCAGAACAGATGCAGAGCCCAGGCATTCGCCCTGAAATGGCCAGATTTAAACCATGCTCAATATAACCAACCGCAGGACAGTGGGAGCAGGTCCTGGTCTCCTGGTGTCCCCTGGCCACTAGAGGTCTCACTGGCTCTCATTTTTGGACTGCTTCCCCAGGGGCGGGGCAGGAGAGAAAAGGACATTCTTAGGTACACTGGACCAGGACGGGTCCACCCCTTCTATCTGTGCTCCCAGGAAGGCTCAGGGCATCTGGGAGACGGAGATGGGGGGAGGGAGGAGGAAGTGAATGCAGCTTCCGAAGCCGGCAGGTGTCCCCGCACACCAGACCCTCCTCTCCTCCACGTTCTCCGTCCCTGCCCCTCCCACGAGCCACCAGCTGCGCCCAGGCTGCATGGCACCCTGCTGTGACATCCCACACTCCCTTCCCCAGCCACAGCATACTGCCCTTATGGTGTCCATAACCCCCATTTCATCCAGGTGACTGGGGGGTTTGAACAGGAAGGGGCTTAAGCGAGCATAGGGGCCAGTGCGTCTCAAACTTGAGCCTGCCTAAGCACGGCTCTCAGGGCTTGACAAAGCAGCATGCTGGGCCCCACTCCCGGAGATGGTGCTTTGGGAGGTCCCCGGGGGGAGAGGGCAGGGAACACGCATTCCTAACAAGCTGTCAGATGCCGCTGCTGGTGCTGCGGGTCCATGGGTCCATGCGTCACTTTGAGAGCCACCTTTGCTGGTGGGCAAACTGGGGCCCAGAAAGGGGAACTCGACAGGGCCACCCAGAGAGTAATGGCAGAGCCGAGGCTAGAACTCACACCTCTTTCCTCACTACTGCAGAAGTGGGGTGCACAGTGCCCTTTGTGCCCCAGCAGCAACGCGATCTAGTCATGAGGGACGTGTCTTGGGACTCACACATTCATCTAGGCTCTCAGGGAAATGCCGATGCCAGGTGGTCAGCTGGGCGCGCTCACTGGCTACGGGACTTGTGTCCTCACCAGGGCCCGGTGGAGGACTCCGTTGGAGTCATCAGTGGGGCTTTAAGTATATCAACTCACTTAATCCCACCATAACCTTATAAGGTGGATATTTTTCAAAATCACTGTTGCACATAATTAGTATTGATGCTGAGGGTCACCCTCAAATCATGGACGGTGCAAATGGTAAATCTTTAGATATTAAGGGCCCGCTGTAAATATCCACAACTTCTCCCAAGCTTTTCATTAGAGCATCCAGATTAAGTCACATCTTAGCAGCAGTTAGCTGGCATGTGTAGGAAGTGCTGAGAAGGTGACTTCCTTTTACTGAGCACCTGCTATGGGCAGACGACTACACCATTTCAATGACCCTGGGAGGTTGTTATTGAGAGGCAAGTTGTGGTGTAGGAGTGGGGCCCCCATTAGGGGTCTGGGAGCCCCTGCTGCAGCTGCGGACCCACCACTAACCTTCTGGGTGACCTCAGGAAAGTTACCTAACCTCTCTGTGCAGAACTGAACCTGGGGCCAGACATCAGTTCCTATTGTCCAGGACTGATGAGAGAAGCTGAGTCTGTATGAGTTAGCTTCAACATGCCCAGAATAATGTCCTCACTTAGAGGAAGAGTTGAGGCTCAGAGAAGTCAAGCAGCTTTCCCAAAGGTGTCCAGGCACGAGGGGCCAAGGAGCACGGGGAGCAGTCTGAGGTATGGTTTGTTTGCAAGCTCTTCTGAGGTTGAGAAAGGGTAGATTTTCAAACCGGGGACTTCCAGCCTGTGAGGGAGTCAGGGCTGCCTCAGAAAGTACAGACCAGAACAATCAAAACAGGGCATTTGCAGCCAGCTTTCGGACTCTGGGGCCAGAAGACCGGGGCATGCCTTGGGAGGGGCTCAGCCCTGGGCAGGAGCTGGCCGTCCCTAATGGAGACTTTTGTGGGAGCAGTGGAGGGTAGAGCTGCAAAGCTTATGATATGTTAGTCCTGGAAAAGAAAGTTAGAGATCATCCAGTCTACCAGGATCCCATTAACATGTTGTGATTCACAGTCTGAGTCAGTGCGCCCAGTAACCTGCATTTTAGCAGTATATTTGCGAGGACCTTGAAAATACTGATTTCATTCAGTCCCTTAACTCTCAAGATGAGGAAAGCGAGGACAGAGAGGGAATGGCTTTCTAAGGTCACGTCTCCTCCTTATTCCTGTAACGACCTTTGCGCGTGGATATAACGCACATGCGCGCTGAGAGGCCCCGGGGCCAGCCACACTCCAAGAACTGGACCAGGTCCTTAGCTGCCCTGGGCCCCAGTTTCCTGACCTCTACAATGGTGGGGGGACACTGGGCTGCACCATTGTGACCTCTGGTGTTCTGTAAGTGTTCGAATGTTCTGGGTGTTCTGCGTAATGGGCTTACACTGAATCTCTTTCTCGCTAGTTGGCTTCATGCATTATGGTTGTTTTACCCCTATCTGAGGTGATGGATGTGTTAACGTGTTCACCACCACGTTGTTGTGGTCTCACGACATTGTAGAAGCTTACATGTTAGACGCCAGTCATATCTCAACGAAGCTGGGAAAAAAGAGACCACCCACCTACTTGCTCGCCCCCGTCCCCCACAGTACTGCACCCGCACAGCGCATGGATATGCTCTTCCACTAGCAGGCTGTGCTCTGGTCACTTTGTATCCTGGCCACCCGCAGGCACGAGCTGGGCTTCCAGGCTTCCCTCCCTCCAATGCGGAGCCTGCCATATTGAGAGATGTGGATGTTTGGCACACCCTGTGTCCTTCCCTTTCTGCGCAGATCTCGTGTTCCCACGCCAGCGCTCCATCTCTGGGCTCCCACCAGAGGTCCAACCCCGGATGTCAGCGTGTGCACTCCTTCCTTTCCAGCCGTGAGCCCTTGGCTCCGGCCCCCCTCCTCCCTGCACCTCTCTCTCGGTTTACTTTTGCAAACCGCCCTGCCTGAGATGTCTCCCACTCCCAACTCCCCCTCCTCCCGCTCCCGCCAACCTTTCAAGGTCAGATTCAAGGGCAATACTCTACAAGCCTTTCCCTGTCCACCCAGGCCCCGTCCTTCGCCCTCGCCTTCCAGAGCATCTGCGACCTGAGTACTGTACCTCAAGCCAGGTCACTGAGGGGCAAGGAGGGAGCAACAGAAGACAACGTGTCAGCATCACCGTCTCCTGTTCCCAAATGACCCCATAGGTATCAGATTTGTCTCCCCTTCCCTGCCCCCCCTGCAGGGCGTGAGCTCCGGGAGCCAAGCCTCTCTCTCCGTACTGTGGCCCCTTTTGACCGTACGGGTACTCTTGGCAGATGAAAAAACAGTGCTCAGAGGTGCCTTTGCTGCTTTTATTTTCTATGCGTGTTATTTCCAGGGCAGGGGCCATCACGTGTGCCGTTTTCCTGAGCTGTCCCTCTGCAGAGCCACCTCCCTGTCCCTGGCTCCTGCAGCCCTGTCTCGTTGGAAGCCCGGGCCGCAAGATGATGCAGGGGGAGCACATGGATGGGCGAGGAGCACTGGTCCCGGCTACTGCAGATAAGGAACCAAGGCTCTCCGTACTAACCAGTAGCAGGGACCAGGTGCTTGCTGGGCACCCGGCAGTTAACGCCTTATCTCGCAGAAGCCTATGGAGGACGTGTCGCCATCACTGTCGTGAGGAAACTGGGGCAGAGAGGCTGCAGTAATGCGTCCACGGCTTCCCTGATCTTGGGCCATATGTGAATGGAATCAGGGGCCTGGGGGCAACTTTAGGAAGCGCCTGCTCCAAGCCCCTCACGTTACACGTGGGGAAGCTGAGGCTCAGAGAGGGGAGGAGGCCAAAGTCACACAGGCAACGAGAGGCAGAACCAGGGCCCTGAGCCTGGGGTTCCTGATGACCACTCTGGTGCCCTTTCCAAGGTGCCCCAGTCCGCGGAGACCCTGAGCCCTCCGGTCCCTCCTGGAGCAGCGCTTAGCGTGAGCCCGGCTGGCACTGCTCTCTCAAGCCCTCGCTCACGCTCAGTCTGCGGCACCGAAGGTACCGGATCTGCTTGCGTGAGGATCTGCCAGACCCTTCTGTATCCTGTGCGGATGGCGCATGGCACTGAACACGCAGCGGGGGGCTCATGGCTCGTTTGTCGACTGACCGCTGGCCTGCAGCTGCCGGATTGGCTCTCAGGACCCCCTACTCCAGTTCCAACGTGCTCTTGGTCACCCTGATTCCCTTGTCTGCCACCCCCTTCCTTTACTCTGCACTGGGAGCAGCCCCGGCCACGTGTGCCCGAGCCTTGATCTGCATTCCCCCTTCCAGCCCGGAGAGCTTATCGTGGGAAAGATGCGCCCGTCCTCATGAGCTCATTCCCCTGAGTGAAAGCGAGGGCTGCGGGGTCTCGCCCGGGGGCCTCGGCCTCCACGAGGGCTCCCGGTCACGATAATGCTTTCCCAGCACCATCCGCCCAGACTTCTTGGTAACCTGATGGTCTGAGACAAACCCTCTTCCTTCTGCCACTGCTAATGACATTGCATTATCTTAATAAGGTCCCCAGGGCTGCCAGGAGTGGGAGGGCTAAAAGGAAAATACGGGAAGAAAACAGCAGCCAGGCTCCTGGCCTGGTCTGGGGAGCAGACTGCTGCCGGCGTGCGGAGCGTCCAGCACGGGGCTCACGCCGGCAGCCGCTGTTGGAGGCAAGACCTTGCGGCTTTTACGGGACGGTGGCAGGAGACCCCGTGGAAACTGGGGACGTCGCAGCTGGCCAGAGAGTGATGCTCAGGGTGTGAGGCATAGGCAGGAGGACTCCCAAGTGCTTGCGGGGTGACCAGAGCTAGGAGGGGACAGCGTGGGGCCAAAGAAAACATAGTCTGGTTGGAGCCTTTGAGGCCTTGCCCCGTTTCCGGGGGTGTGTCCTATCTGAAACAACCGGTGTAGGATAATGGTCCCCAGGGCCGGTGGAAATTGAGCACCGTCTCAGAGGGGAGGGTCTGATGCCAAGGGACAGACAACAACATGGCGGGGAAGGCCTTCATCTCTCTCCTTGGAGAACGACAGAATGAGAGCTACCGGCAGGCTTTGGGGGCAGAATGGGCTCTGTGGGAAGGAATCCTGGGTCCTTCCACCACGGTGGCTGAAGCCATTAGGAATGATGTCCCCATGGGCATGGCGATTCTGGGAGTCGGCATCTGAGGCCGTAACTCGGAGCCTGAGCCAAAGGGCCACTTTGCAAGAAGAGGGTAGGCCCCTCCAACGTCCCTCGGGGCGACGGGAAGCGGGGTCACATCAAGGAGAAGGGAAAGGAGGCCCGACTAGAGAGTAGAAGCCCAGTTGTGTTCAAGGAAAGAAGGGGAAGATAGTGTCCAGGAGGAGGAGTTGAGGGCAGCCGGTCCCGGCTCCCTCAGCCTCTGGGGGGCCGGGTCCCAAGGAGCGGCTTGGCCTTGCAAGGGAGTCTGGGAATTCTGAGTCAAGGCAGCCGCTGCTTTCAGTGGCCGCTGAAGCGCCTCCATCTGGGGAGGGAAGGAGGGAGGGAAGGTGTTCTGGGTCCCCGTGGGAAGGCTGCAAGGGGACTTGGCTGCAGGGAGAGGTACGGGAAGCCCTACATGGACGGGCTGGTGGGAGACAGAGAAGACAGAGAAGAACCCTTGCAGGGCAGCTCCGGGAGGGGCGGGAGGGGAGCACCGAGCCAGTTCTTCTGAAGAATGTGACCCGGAGGGCGGTCGGGGAGCGTTCCAGGCGGACAGCCACAGCCCAGGGTACGAAATAAAGTCCCCAGGGTCCCTTGTGGGAGGAGGCCAAGAAAATGTCCAGCCTCCTCCCACCCTGGGGCTCCTCTGCCCCCGGGAAGGGAGTGCCCGAGAGCAAGTCTGATCTTTGTCAGCAGGGTCCCGGTCCAGTGGGAACCGGGTGAGGGGAGGTGCTGACGGAGGCAGGAACGCAGCTGCTTCAGGGGCCCAGATGGCTGTGGCGGAACAGAGCAGGAGCAAACCGGAGGGAGGGCAGGGCAGACGCAAGGCCGCCCCGCGGGCGGCCGGTCTGGCCTGGAGGGCTGGTGAGGCTGCAGGCACAGAGGCCCCCTAAGTGATCATCAGGAATGTGCTGGGAGGGAGGGTTCTGGAATGCAGCCCTCCTATACAACCCAATATCCTGCCCAAACCAGGAGGCCAACTCAGAGAATGTTCTCGTGTCAGGAGGGCGAGAAGTCTGTCTGCAGTGACTGAGCAAGTTTAACCCTCTCCCTAGGGAAGGCAGGGCCCACAGACCGGCGTGGCCTGGACAGAAGGCTGTGTGTGGGAAGGGCCTGGAGGGAAGGCACCTGGGGTCCTGGGCAGGCTCACTATGTGGCATGCTGAGACGTGCATCACCCTGAACCCACAGACCTGGGGCTCCCCTGAAGGGAGAGGTGTCCTGGAGGCAGCCATCTGTGAAGGGAACAGGTATGGGAAATTAGGGACACGGACCCTGGACGGCAGGAGGGGGGCACTCTGGTGGACTTGGGGCCTGGCTTTGTGAAGAGTGTGCTCGTCTTTGAAGTCATTCCTGGGGCCCTGGACTGGGAGTCACAGGCTGGAGATGGGTGAACGGCACTCCAGTGTAGATTGTGCCCTAGTTTATCTCCCCAGTGTTATCCCTGTGGCCTTGTGCTCTTGTCACACACCTTGTTCAGGTGTTCTGGCCCTGCACAGGGGTGAATTCAGGAGAAGGTGGTGGGGGTGGGGCATCAGAGCGGCAGGGGCATTAGTGAGACATACCACGGGAGGTGATCCCCAGGAACTTTGGGTCCAGCTGCTACGCGGTGATAACAGCAGAACACCCTGAGGTCAGCGTTGCAGGGCGGAAGGGGATGCACGTGGGATATGGGGGGGGGGCCCTGCCCCTCCGCACCTGGGGACTCTCCCTCCACTGTCAGCTCAAAGCATCTGGGAGAGATTCGGTGTGGGGTTTCCCTCCCAGAAGCAGCTGTGCGGGGACCCCAAGGCCACCTTTGAAACCGTCAGCATCGTCCTGCGGAACAGTCACCAGAGGAGCCTGCTGCAGAGCCGTTTCAGCAATGCCACGGTCACCTGAACACATTTCCGACACCCTTCTCGGGAGACTTCAAACAGAGTTTTCAAGCCACCCAAGATAGCGGGTCTCATGACTTTGTAAGACTCATCCTCTTTTTACGCCCGAAAAATACCGTCCCTGATATGCTGTTCAACTTGACGGCAAGACAATTTCACCCTGTGCTCAAAGGCCAAAGCTTGGGCCCACTGAGGAAGCTCAGGAGAAGGCGCCCCCAGCAGTTCCCAAAGAGAAATTTCCAAGAGGATGTGGGGTAATGGCAGCTCCACTGGCGTAAGTGTGGGTCTCGGGCTGGGTTCTTTGCCAGGGACGGGGGCCGTGTGAAGAAGTGCAGGTAAGAAAATAGGTACTTGGGTTCCTCTTATATAACCAGGGGATTTTTCATTCTAAATAAGCCTAGGACCTGGAAGAGAAGGACACCATCGACTCCAACAAACCAGTGCATATGATTTGAATAGAAATGCACATCTTCAAAGGAAAGGACCTGGTCCTGTCAGTCACGGTCACAGAGCTCTGTCCACATCCGACCCACAGAAACGAGCAAGCCCTGAGGCAACGCCACTCACCAGAACTTTCTCCACCGTCAAAATGGCTGGGAGGGTCAGCCTCACGCCAGTGACCACAAACAGCCCCGACAGACCCCATTTTCCCTAGAGGAGGACCATCAACACCGAGCAGGGAACCAATCTGACCCACATCATCCCACTAATCAGCTTTGAACCTGAAAGTTGCCGCGCAGAGTGGGTACGGAACACACGCTTGCTGACCGGCACGGAGTCTGTGAAAGGCGAAAGGCTTGTCACGTATTGCTTTCAAATTTCAAATTATACAACCGCAGGAAGTCAACCCTCTTCCCAACGTGGCGAGTCAAGGCGGAGAACATAAACAAGAGGCTTATCCTTTAGCTCGGATCCCAAAAGAAGATCGGAAGGGCTCCAGGGGTCTCTACAGTCTCCTAGTCACAGATTTTGCTGTCCTGCAAGTCCCAGCTCTGGCATCTTCCTCTGCATGTGCTTACCAGAGCGGTGGATGGCTCATCTGTAAACACAAGGCCAGAGCACCTCCCCATCTCCCCACGACCTGGCCGTGGTGACAATATGCAATATACTTAGGACAGCCCCTGGCCCGTCCCGAATAAGATAAAGAGGCGGCCCTCCGCAGGGGAGCCTCAGAGCGGCTTCCGTGGATCCACAGTGGGGAAGTGGAAGGGAGGTCAAGCGAGCGAGGAGCTGAGGCCCCTCGCTTCCGACCGAACTTGAACCCCTCTGCCCTCATCTGTGTTATATCTTGTGCTTCCGCCTAAGAGTGTATCTCAGACAGTATTTTAGCCCCTTAGGGAGAGTTTGGAAATCGCCACACCAGGGAAGGCCTGGCATGCCTTCTAGTGAATAAACTTGCCATGCATCCGGGGTTTGGCTGGGCCTCCCCTCCATCCCAGCCCTCCGTGTCCCTCTCTGCTGTCGTCACGGGCCACCCCCCCCCCCGCCCTTCCTCCGCCCCGCCCCCCCCCCCCCCCCCCGCCCCGGGTCCCCCGCCTGAGGGCTGTGATGCGCACCTGGTGAAGCGGACCTCACAGATGTTGCACATGTATGGCTTCTCCCCGGTGTGGGTCCTCATGTGCCGCGGCAGCTTCCCGGCCCCCATGATGACTTTGTGGCAGATGGGGCACTGCTGAGAGGCCTTGGGCTTCAGCTTGCGCTCCTCCACCAGCGGCCAGGGCGGGAAGAGGCCCCCCAGGTGGGTGGCACTCAGGAAGTTGAGATAGGCACCGTAGTCGTTCTCTGCCTTGATGGGGCCCAGCGGCCCCCCGGGAAGGTCGGGGAACATGTCCTTGAAGAAGTCGTTGGGGAAGGGGGGCGGTGGGGGCGGGGGCAGCTCCTCCTTCTCCTCCTCCTTGATCTTCCGGTTCTTGATGACCAGGTCTAGCGGCCCACTGTCCATGGGCTGCTCAGGCAGCTGGGCAAAGGCACCGAAGTCCCCCGGCCAGAGGTGCGGGAAGAAGTCAGGGGCGAACGGAGATAAGGAGGGTCTCCTATCGGTGATGTTGGCTTTGGGGTACAGGTTCTCCCTCAGCAAGGATTCGATGGAGAAGTCCCGGATGACGCCCAGATGGCCGGGGCTGCCGGCCTGGAAGGAATCGGGGAAGTCCCTGGGTGCGTCGGAATAGGCCTTCTCCGTGAGATGGTCCGTCTTGGAGGGGCTTTGGTGGCAGTTGATGTCCTGGGGGTCGGGCAAGTTTTCTTGGTCGGCGAAGTCTTCGGTGTCATCATCTTCGTCTTCTTCCTCTTCCTCCTCCTCTTCCTCCTCGTCTTCCTCATCATCGTCATCGTCGTCGTCGTCGTCGTCCTCCTTGTCGTCCTCCTCCCCGCCGTCCCCGCCGGGCTCCATGATCTCCAGGCACACGTTCACGATGCACTGGATCTCCAGCATCCTGGCGGCGTTGAGGATGTGCTTGACGTTGGAGGCGGTGATGGTGAGCGTGGAGGTGTAGGCGAAATCCAGGATGGCAGCCAGGGCCTCGGGCTGGACAAAGTCGATCTCGTAGACGTACGGCTGACTGGCCAGGGCGCCAGCCGTGAACAGCTTCTTGAAGTACTTGCTGCAGGCCGCCAGGACGGCGCGGTGGGTGCGGTACTCGTGCTCCTGCACCACGAGGAGCACGTCGCAGAGCAGGCCGTCCTGCCGCTGTTCGTTCAGGCTGCACAGGACCTCGCTGCTGTGGTTGGGGAAGGGAATGCCGATGAGTTCGTCGATGCCATTGGCCATGTTCTCAGCCAGAGCCCTGCAGGGACGCACAGAGAGGAGGCCGGGGTTAGAGGCACAGTCCCAGGAGGGGACACCCAGCTCTGGGGCCGGTGAGGGGGGCCACTGGGCTGGTGGGCGCGCTGGCCACGGCACCCCTGCCTTTGCTTAAGGCTTCCCGCTCCACCAGAAAGCTGACCCTCCTCCCTCTTGGCCTGGCCAAACCCCACCTGCGATTCAGAGCCCAGCGCGCAAGGCGGGCTTTTCACTGTACCCCCGGGGCCCTCTCCCGGCACCCCCAAGGCCCTTGGCCTGAAGCTTCTCAATGGGCAGGTAGTATACGCCATTTAGCCAAGGCTGTGGAAGCTTCTCCTGGGCACGGTTCCACTGAATTCGCTTCCTGCTCTGGGCACTACAGGAGTGGCCCTCAGTCAAGGGCCAAGCAAGGGAATGTTCTGTCGCCACTCAGGGCTCCTGCTGGGTAAATGCTCTGTTGTTTTGTTTCGTTTTCCACAAAGCCTCTGACTCGGGTAATGGATGAATATGTTGCTACTACTGGCTACTGTTCTGAGCGGCGCTGTGGTCCCCCCCTGCCTGCCCCAACTCGTATGCTGGAACCTTAAGCCTCAGGATCTCAGAATGTGACTCCTTTCGGAGGGAAGACTTTTAAAGAGGTGACTGAAGATCAGATGAGGTCACGTGAGTCAGCCCTAATCTAGCATGACTGGTATCCGTATAAGACGGGAGGAGGACACAACACTCAGAGGGCAGAGCCCGTAAAGACACAGGGAGAAGAAGATAAGCCAAGGGGAGAGGCCTCAGAAGAAACCAAACCGGCCTGACACCGTGACCCTGAACTTCCAACTTCCAGAACTGTGAGAAAATCGGTTTCTGCTCTTTAAGCCCCCGAGTCTGTGGCTCTTGCTTACCGCGGCCCGAGCAAACCGATAACAGCTTCTAGGAATCTTAACAACCACATTTTGTGGCCCATTTTCGGCACAGGAATGGGGGCCTAAAGGCATATGTCTTGCCTTCTGACCTTACTTCCGGCTTCGTTCTAGTTGATGGCATTTCTATTCATTTGCAAATCTTGATCTTTTTTTTCTCCTTTGGAATACTGACCTGCTATATATGTACATCGGCGAGCTGTTTCACATGTCAGTAAACGTTTACATTCAGTATTAAATTCGAGTACACTGTTAGTTAACTTATCGTGTCTGTATTCTGTTACCCTCAGGGAAACGCATCGCCTGCAGAGAGAAGCCTCTTCTGAGACCCCTTAGGATGAAGTGTGGCCAGTGACAGCCACCGGGAGGCAAAAGGGCAGGACAGAGGACACCAGAGGACATCACCTCCCTTCAGGGAGCCAGACTCATCGCCCAAGTCCACAGATTCAACCTGGACAAAAAAACCACTTCAGTTTTTGTGCCATGGCATTGAGGACCCCCTCTGCTTAGGGCAAAGCTTGACTGTGGCCCATGCGTAAATCCTAGCAAAAGCCTGGTCCTCACCCTGGTGCAATGACAGTGAAAAGCAAATAAAAATGAAAACAAAACCTGAAAGCCTCATGCCCCAGTGGGAAGAGCTTTGGGGATTCCCACACATTTATCTTCCGGACGTTTCCACTTTGGGAAGGCAGGTGCCATAGGAGTGGAGGAGTGAGAAGGGCCACTCACACGATACGTGCCCTGGGTGGGGACTGGAGGCCCCAGGGACCTGGCGGGGAGTGCAGGTGCTCAGGAGGTTTCCCAGAGTGAAGGCCTTGCTGCTGCCCTGCCTCCTCATCTTCAAAAGGGCCAGGGACCCCCACAGGCCACGCATTCATCCCCTAAATAGTCACTGGGTCTCTCCCTGTGCCAGGCACTGCCCTGACCTCTGGGGAAGCACGGCAAGCAGACCAAGAAGGTCCCTGCTCTAACAGAGCTTACAGAGACATAACTGTGATAAAGGAATATCAAGATTCACCAAAGAGAAACGGGGGCTCCCCACACACCCATCAGAATGGCTAAGATAAAAAGAGAGACAACACCGAATGCTGGCGAGCATGTGGGGAAAACTGGATCACTCATCCATTGCTGGTGGACATAGAGAACGGTAGAGCCTCCCTGGAAACAGCCTCGTGGTTTCTTACAAAACGAGATGTGTAACCGCCATATGACGCAGCGCTCTTGATCAGGCACTGTTGAGCATTTGTCCCCAAGAAATAAGAAGGCAGGTGCACGCAAAGACCTGAACGCCAATGTTCCCGGCAGCTTTACGGGTAGCGGTCAATGTCTGCGAAGGGTCCAGAGGTCCTTCAACGAGTGACCGGCTCACCAAGTGGTAGTGCACCTACACCATGGCATACTAGTCAGCAAACAAAAGGAATGAGCTACTGATACCTAAAAAAAGCCCGGATGAGCCAGGGTGAAGAAAGCACCAACAGGTTACATACTGCATGATGTCATTTACGTTGTGTTCTTGAGGTGGTATCATTACAGAAATGGAGAACATAGGAGTGGTTGCTAGCAGCTGAGGAGGGGGTGGGGCAGGAGGGAGGTGGGCGTGGCTATAAGAGGGCAACAGGAGGGACCCTCCTGGCGATCGGGACCATTCTGTATCTTGAGTGTATGGAGGTCAATATCTCGGTTGATGTTTTACGGGGATTTTGAAAGATGCTGCCGTCGGGGCAAACTGGGTAAAGTGTACATGGGATGTCTGGATTATTTCTTAAAACTACATGTGAATTGGGGCGCCTGGGTGGCTCAGTTGGTTAAGCACCCGACTTGGGCTCAGGTCATGATCTCGCGGCTCGTGAGTTCGAGCCCCGCGTCGGGCTCTGTGCTGACGGCTCGGAGCCTGGAGCCTGCTTCGGATTCTGTGTCTCCCTCTCTCTGCCCCTCCCCTGCTCGTGCTTATCTCTCGCTCTCACAAATAAATAAACTTTAAAATAAGCTAGATTTCTATTTAAAAAAAACTACACGTGAGTCGACAAGTTATGTCAAAAAGAGAAAGTTTAATTAAAAAAGTCAAATGGTAGGAAATAACTTAAACCAATAAATAGATCTCCTTCCACCCTAGTGAATGACTCTTATCATCTGTCTATAGTAGTGGGTGAGGTGGTGGGAAGAGGGAGGCTGCTTTAGTCAGAGTGGTCAGAGAAGGTCTCCTTGGGCAGTGTCATTTGAGCTGAGGCCTGGATGGCAAGAAGGATACAGTCATAGGATGCTGTAGGGAACAGTGGGAACAGCAAGTGCAAAGTGGGCAGACCCATCAAGGTGCTCTAGGTCTGGGGGGGGGGGCCAAGTTCTGCTCTGAATGGCCCCATTTAACGTGGTTCCTGTCCACTGAAAAACCATTTCACTGCTGCATCCCTTTGGGGGGCTCAGATCCCTCTGCGGTCCTGTGTAGGACTCCCCTCTTCCTCTCTGACCAGGGAGGGCATCCCCACGCTGCAGGCCTCAGCTATCTGTGCTGCAGAGAGTGTTCTGAGGCTCCCTCCTTCCCTTACACCCCAGGCCTCCCTGTTGTAATGGTGGGAGCCAGAGGGAAAGCTTGAGAAGCCAGGGCAATCGTTGAGGCTAGGTGCTTCTTCGGGGCTGCCATTTCTATTACAGTCCCAGGAAGGATGCTTTGTTGCAGCCAGGTGCAACATGACCTCCTGTGCAGTGAGTAAGGGGACCTGAGGACACTGGTCCCCATCCCCCTGGCCCCAGCCTTCTGCTTCAGACACTCAGGCCTCATAGGGCAGACTGGGAAGACTTAGGGCCGGGCCAACCTTGGCCAACACCTTCTCTCTGCAGGCCAAGTGCCCGCCCTAAACAATGGGGTTCCCAGATGAGGGATCAGAGTCATCATGTGCCCGCCATCAGGCCTGCTCATCTTCACGATCACTGAGGTATAGCTCCTATTATTATCACTATTTCTATCTCACAGAGGAGGTAAAGAAGGCACAAAAGGATAAATCACAGAGACGAAGTAACAGCGTAAAGATCTGAGTCTGAAGTCTGGCTCCTCGGGCCATGCTCCCGACCACAACCAATCTACCTCCTGCCTCTGCTTCACAAAGGCAACCAAGAATGGCCAGCAGTCCTTGCTGTGGCCTGAGTGGCCCAGACTCCGGGCGTTCAGAGATGCTCAGGGGTGCCTTTGGGGAGGAGGGTGGGAAGGATTTGGGTCAGCAGGAGAGAGCGGCCCTGCCTCCCCGCGGGGGGGGCGAGCAGGCAGGGGCAGCGGGCAGGTGAAAGCCTGGCCAGCCTCAGGAACTGCAGCGTCAGGAAGACTTCCCAAGCAAGCCCCAGGTCGTGGCTTTTCTCAGAGTGGGTTCAGTGGCTCGCCTACTTGCTCCCCGGGCAGCCTCCCCTGGTGGTTCTGGCAAAGCTCCGCCAGGGGACGGGGAGAGGCCGAGGGGAGGTGATGGAGCTGAGGCCCCATCAGGCCTTCCCATCCCGTCTTCTGAGCACCGCCTACCTGGATATGCTGACTGCCCACAGCGCTGTTCTCAATGTGCCCCACGTCATTCCCCGGTACCCCCTTCCCTCTAATCCCCCAACACGAATCCTGCTTCGCAGCCCCCATGGCTTTGCTCACGCTGAGCTCCCGGCTGGAGAACACCCAACATCTTGCGTCTCCGGCATCCTTCACCTCTAGGGGGCCGCATCCCACCCACACTTCAAGACTTCCCCCGTCCCTCAGTTCAGATGCCGGGCCTCTCCCGCCTTTAGCTCTCCCGAACCCCTGATGCCTCCTACCGTTTATTTCACGCTGCTTGTGCTATAACTTATGTTATGCGTCTTGCCATTTCAGCTAGATTGTGAGCTGCTGGAGGGCGGGCTGTCATTACAATGCTCGGCACAGTCCTGGCACACAGCTGGTGAAGGTCTAGGGCAGGGGCTCTGAGCGCTGAAATTACCACGGTACAGGTGGTTCACGACACAGTGGCACCCCCTCTAAGGGCAGACTCGAAGATGTCCCCCCACCCCATGATTCTTGCCTCCTGGTCGCAAGGATCCATGCCCTCGTGTGGCCCCCTTCCACGTGAATACGGCTGACCTGTGTAAC